CAGAAACCTGGTTAAAGCCGGAGATTCTGAGCTCCGAAGTTTTTCCAGCTGCGTTCACAGTATACCGGCTAGATCGGCCTATCAGACGTGGGGGAGGTGTCCTTATAGCGGTCGACTCCACTCTCACGTCCGAATTAATAATTTTCGAGGAATCCAACAACGTTGAATTCCTTTGCGTGAAGCTATCAGTTAATGGTAGTTCCATTTTTGTTACATGTTCCTACATTCCTCCATTGTCGGAACTTCCTATTTATTGGAACCATCTTTCCGCTATTCAGTTGGTCTCTAAAAGATTTTCGGATAGGGACCATTTAGTAGTTCTTGGTAATTTTAACATCCCAGGGGCTATTTGGTCCCTAGATAATTCCACTAACACACTTCTTACGACAACACATCATGATTTTATTGCTGGCTTGTTTGACATTTCGCTGTCCCAAGTCGATCATGTTCGAAATTCCTTAGAGCTCTTGCTTGATCTTTGTTTTGTCTCAGATTCGGAAAGAGTTAGTTAAGCTAGAGTGGCGCCCCTGACGCAACCCGAAGATCCCTATCATCCCACTTTCGATGTGACTATCGACATGGGGACTGTTTCACGGAATAAATCTGACAGTCCAGCCCAAGAAGTCTTCTGCTTTAGCAAGACGGATTTCGTACGGCTGAATAATTTCATAATTAATTACAACTGGTCCGATCTATACACATGCACTGACATGGCGGAAGCCGTGGGTATTTTTTATCGTGTTATAAATTCATTTTTTATTGACTGTGTTCCGTTATACTGTCCGTCTACATCAAACAAGCCTCCTTGGTTTACCAAAGAGTTGACCCGCCTCAAAAATAGAAAATCAAATCTATATGCTAAATATCAACGTATCGGTTCTACGATTGTCCTATCTAGTTATTTATCAGCTCGATCCACTTTTACTGTGTATAATGCGCAGTGCTACAATAATTATTTGACTCGTTGCAGGTCCCAGTTTTCTGAGGACCCAAAACAGTTTTATAATTTTGTTAAATCTAAGCGTAAATCCATTACTCGTCCGTCCTCGCTCTCTTTTGGTAATTCAACAGCAGATAATGATCAGGCAATAGCCGATCTTTTTGCTCAGTTTTTTGAAACCACTTACTCCAACTCAAAGAACCCAAATCAGGCTTATCCTTACATCATCCCCAAATCGAACCAAATCTTCAGTCCTACCATTAACGAAAGCTCTCTTCTTAGAGATCTTCATCGTGTTAAGCCAGTTTTTTTACCAGGTCCCGACGGAATACCAGGCTGTGTGCTTAGGAATTGTGCCGAAGCCCTGTGCAATCCACTTCTCAAATTGTTTACCTTATCCTTAGAAACCTCCCACTTTCCCCTTATTTGGAAGGAATCATTCGTTATTCCTCTCCACAAAAAAGGTAGCAAATTGGCTGCCAACAATTACAGAGGTATCTCTAAGTTGTCGGCCATCCCTAAACTGTTCAAAAATGTTATTACTCCTCATCTGCAGCACCTGTGTAGGTCAATTATTTCTCCATGTCAACATGGTTTTATTAGGCGAAGATCAATTACAACGAATCTGTTGGAGCTTACTTCCTTTATTATAAAGGGATACCGAAATAACTTTCAGACAGATGTAATCTATACTGATTTCAGTAAAGCATTTGACTCTCTTAACCATTCTCTTCTTGTTCGGAAACTCGATTTAATGGGATTTCCGACTGATCTTCTTAATTGGATCTCAGGTTATCTAAATGGCAGGACGCAGAAGGTCCTTTTCGAAAATAAACTATCTAATGTTCTTAGGGTTACATCTGGCGTCCCGCAAGGGAGTCATTTGGGTCCCCTACTGTTTACATTATTTATCAACGATCTGCCCGAAGTTTTGACCAACTCCAGAGTACTTATGTATGCTGATGACGTCAAGCTTTGTGTGCAATATAACGATGCTACTTGCCAATCAGACTTACAGACAGATCTTAACAACTTTTAAACATGGTGCTGCGTGTACTTATTAAACTTAAACGGCTTAAAGTTCAAGCTAATGACATTCTCCCGTGTCACTCCTAAGCCTGCAACTTATACGCTAAACGGCTGCTCTTTGGAAAAAATTTATATAGTTGATGATTTAGGTGTCCGTCTGGATCCTAAACTCGACTTTATCGATCATATTTCGTGCATGGTGAATAAAGCCAGGGGTGTGCTTGGTTTCATTAAACGGTGGTCGAAGGAATTCAATGACCCCTATGTTACAAAAACGTTATATACTTCACTTGTTCGTCCTATCTTAGAATATGGATCCTGCGTTTGGAGCCCTCAGTATGGCGTCCATAGTAAACGCATAGAATCGGTTCAAAAGAACTTCTTACTTTTCGCCTTACGCGGTTTAAACTGGGATGCAAACCAGAGGTTACCGTCTTATTCTAGTAGACTCTTACTAATTAACTTACCCTCCTTATCTAATCGTAGAACCATGCTAGGTATTACATTCTTATACAACTTAATCCGTGGTGACGTGGAAAGTACTGACTTGCTCGGTCAGCTAAATTTTCACGTACCAATAAGAAACACTAGATCCTTTTTACCATTAGTTTTGCCCCACTGTAGAACATCCTTTGAACTGCATGAACCCTTTTAGAGTCCTCTGTGCAAATTATAACGATTTGTACACAATAATATTTAACGTTGATAGCCTCCCAAAACTAAAAACTTCAATCTTAACCTACTTACGCATGCAAGCAACCAATCCGGCAGTACGCCAGTAGTAGTTTCCCCGCATCCTTTTTTTTAAGTCCTTCGCGTTTACTAATTGCTAACAGAACAAGCACGTGCTTGGTGTCGCAAGTTCCACTTGATATGTACTGTACATAGTGCATCAACGTCTTGCAATAACTGTGAAGTATTACACAAGTACGCGGGCGCGAATAAACAAAAAAAGAATGGGTAGAAAAAGGAATTGGGAATAGAGACTACTGAACGTAGAATAGGCAATGACGTCCGCACTCGAAGAGAGATAGTCGGTGACTGAAAAGCGTTTTAATATCATGGATATCTTTGTTATTTGTCGCTAGTTCTAGTTTAACAAACACTAAGTTAACTGCCTGTTAACAAATCGAACCGTGTGTCCAGCCGATGTAAGGCTTTTCTTAATATTTTTATCCGGGACAGAATGACGGATACCACAGATGACAACTCGATAGGACCTTTCTTCTTTTAACTGCTAAGAATGGAAAGACACTTTTTTAAGAGTCAGTGATTTTGTTCTATGTATCTGAATCAGCAGCTAAGATGGAAACAGAATTGTTGGAATGACATTTTAGGGAGTATTTGGTCGGGTCAACGGTTTTGTCTGTGGATCTGATAAGTCCGTTCAGATTCTCACAGTGATCAAACACAATCGGGGGTGGTTTGGGGGTGGATATATGTTCCTGACTGCCAGGCCGGCTGAGATTGTTCTTGTTGCTTCCGGCATTGTTGGTAGAGCTGCTGGTAGGACTACTGCCGTTGTTAATTGTTAATTGCTACTATTGGTTTTAACCTGTTTTAAGCCGGTTAAAGTACTAGCTATTGCTGGGTCTTTGGGGCTTACTGTTTAAGGGGGATATACATGTAAGCCAACATTTTTTTTAACAATTTTTTTTTTTTTTTTTGTTTAAAAAATAGTTTTTTTACTCAAGGAAAATACTGTGTAAGTTTCTTCATCGAATTCCAACTTTGAGTGCATCAAATCAAGTATGCAAGCAAGGTATACAAGTGTAAACGAGGGCGCTTCAAAAACTTTAAACGTATTTTTCTCAGCTTTAAATTTTTGCATTTTTACCTATGCTATGAACACGATTCACAAAAAACTATGTAACATATCGGAGTGAATCAAAAATTATTATGATCAGCATGAAATTATCTTCTATTTACACCTAAATGGGGTTAAATTAAATTAGTATTACTATTTTTTAAGAGGGTGGGAAGTGAAAACTGATTACCTGAAAAAGAAATTTTTTTTTTTTAAAAGAAAATTTAATTTTTTTGTCTTAACTTCTTTTTGGTTTTTTAGGTTCAAATAGAGGATAAAGGTGTAATGAATGCAACAAATTTTTGTTTACGGATTTCCGACACAAATTAGAGCTCTATCGTGTCCATAGCCGAGAAAGCTCGAGGCGCTGCGGCATATTTTCCATAGGTCGGCTATTTTGTAAAATATTGTTTATAACAACATTTTTTTATCATCTCCGATGCTACTTTTAACTATTTCAAAAGTTTTCCTACATTAAAAAAATTCACGAAAAATGACTACACTTTGACCGTTTACATGTATATCCCCCTTAGGGAACTTCGATGTCTGTGCCCATGTCTGAATTGGTTGGTAGTTTTACATTAATATTTGATCTTGATGCGGTGTTGAAGGAGAAGGAGGAGGCAAGTCGCCGGCCTCACTCATTTGCCACAATCTCGCTGAAGTTTAGATCATCTTCGGAGTCCGAAAGATTAAACATTATGCACTTCTTTGCACCGCTTTACTGACATTGGATAAATAGGTCCCTTGCCCGACCTCCAAAAAGGAGAGCGATGCCAAGTGGGTAAGACGCAAGCCCCGCAGTCGGGCGGCACCTGCAACAATTGCAACTGTTAGTCTTGTCTTTTGGTATCACTTGGTTTTCGCGACCTTAGAAGTCGGATTTAGAAAAACAATAGCTTTTGCCACAGAGGTGGACTTGTCGATAGATTCATCACAATGAAGTTCGCAGCAATGCGTCTGCACTCCACGAAAGCATGAGAAAATTTTTATTTTCCCTTTTTCTTTTGTATAGTCGAAAACAAGCCCGATGCCGTTGACAGCCAACGCAAAGCTGATGCTCTTAAGTAAGAATATTAAAATTAGTCTTAAGAAATATTTTGGCCTTTACAATACCGATTGTTTAAACATTCAAACATATATAATATATATCTGTTGTAAACGTTTTTAAGTTAAGGGTTTTTAGCTAAAAACCAATAAATATTAAATAATAAAATTACTTACATCCATGACGGCACACCTTGTAATCCAGTTGCATCATAAGATGGTGTCAAAAGTAAAATACATATATATAGAAAATGCTTCCTTGTAATTAAAATCATTTTGTATGATTAAAAATATCTAAATTTCCTGTTTTTAATAATTCGTACTGTGAATGTCTTTATTTGAGATCATTAGTTATTTGCTCGTTTCCTGTTTTATGCGTTCGCTGAGGGACTGAAAAGTAAATAAATAGGCAGGTTTTATTATAAAGCTTTAAATTTGGTTGAACTTCATTAAAAACAAGAAAAAAAGCGAGCTTAGGCACGCCGAAGTTTGTTTACTCTTGCAGTTTGCAATTGGTTAAACAAATATAAAAAACAAGAAAGGAAGCTAACTTCGGCACGCCGAAGTTTGTATACCCTTGCAGATTGGTTTTCATATTTATATTATAAATTATAATGCCGAAAACAGACACTAAACGGAGTTTCATAACATTTTACCTATACTTAATATGTTTACAGTTTGACAGTTACAGTTATATATTCCCAGCTTTACATTTTCTCTACATCTACGGATCACTTATATGGCAGCTATATTATATAGTTCTCCGATTTTCATAATATTGTTACCAAAATTCTGAAATAATACTAAAAGCTCATGTCTCAAAGTAGATGAAAATACGTTGAAAAACAACGAAGTTATAATTTTTCTATCGCTTTCCCTATCGTTCCTATGGCAGCTATAAGATATAGTCGTCCGATTTTCATTAAATTTATACCAAAATTTTGAAATAATACCAGAAGCTCATGTCTCAAAGTAGATGAAAATACGTTGAAAAAGAACGAAGTTATAATTTTTTCTATTACCTTCCCTATCGTTCCTATGGCAGCTATAAGATATAGTGGTCCGATTTTCATAAAATTTTTACCAAAATTCAAAAGTAATATATAATGGCCATGTCTTAAAAATTGTGCAAAAATGTTAAAAAACATCCAAGTTATAATTTTTTTTCTAAAAATTTATCGAACATTTGTATGACAGCTATATGATATAGTCGTCCGATCCGGCCCGTTCCGACATATATAGCAGTGAGAGTATATAGAAGACTATATGTAAAGTTTCATTCAGATAGCTTTAAAACTGAGGGACTAGTTTGCGTAGAAACGGACAGACGGACAGACGGACGGACAGACGGACAGACGGACGGACAGACGGACATGGCTAGATCGACTCGGCTGGTGATGCTGATCAATAATATATATACTTTATAGGGTCGGAAACGTCTCCTTCACTGCGTTGCAAACTTCTGACTGAAATTATAATACCCTGCAAGGGTATAATAAAAAGAAATATACAAAAGTTGTATTTTATACATAGCATATAATAATTTGGCTTTGATATTTATATTATATATTTAAATGCTGATAACACACACAAAACAGAGTTTCATTACATTTGACCAATAGTTATTATGTTTATGGTACAGTTTGACAGTTACAGACTTACATTCCCAGCTTTACATTTTCTCTACATCTACCGATCGTTTCTACGGCAACGCACCTCACAAGTAGATGCAACTTTCATATAAGAGGTTCTACCTTCCACCACACAGATCATCCAGATGGTAACTAACTAGATGAGATACATTGAGCTAGCCCCGTACCTCAAAACTGAAGCGGACATCGACTGTTCCACCTCTGCTCTGGAAGAGGTACTTGTGATAGCAGCCAGGATATCTACACCACATCGGACGGATGTGCAAATAATCAAATTCGAAACGAATCAGCAAATGAAACGGCTTATTCAAGAAAAAAGGCGTCTGCGACGGGCGTGGCAAACCAATAGATCGCCATGCATAAGGCAACGTCTTTAACCTAAAACTACTTGACCATGTATCACACCTGACTAATAAAATTCTTGACCTAAACTTGATTTCGTGGATTCGCTATAGGACTTTATTATATTTCCACAAAATTGTGATATCCCAAGAACCAACTTACTTGTTTGACAAACTCATATCTGCTACCTCAACTAGAACGAATACTAACGCTATCCGTCTGTAGAACAATCTGCCACATAGATATAAGAAAATTAGGGTCGCAACTCAGTTTAAATCTCAAATCAAAGAATATTTAAAGTAAAATATAAAGTAACATAAAATAAGATATGTAGAATACGTAATAGATATAAGTTTATATCTGTTAAAATCTATTATATAAAAATAAGTCGACTTTTCTGCGGGGATCAAATAACTCCAGAACGCACGAACCGATTTCCACGGTTTTGCATTCGTTGGAAAGGTCTCGGAATTTGTGATTTTTTGCAGTAAAGAAAATTCAGGAAAAATTGCAACAGAAAGCGGGAAAATCATTTTTGCATAAAGCGCCAACACTGACACATAGCATGCCATAATTCTCTACTCAGTTTATTTTATGACAAATCGAAATTGTGTTCAATTTTGAGTAAAATAAGTTATTCGTTTCATATCAGTGCAAATGGAAACCAGCATTTGTATTTAGGGTGGTAAGTTGAACTGTGTAAATTATGTGGATTAGAGGTTAAATTAACCTCTCTGCCTATAGTCGAAAATGCCTATAGCACGACGTGTGAACATCGGTCTCCGCACAAGGCATGCATGCCAGCAACAAGTGTGTTCACAGAACTTAAGCGAGGAGAGACGAAATGTAGTAAGGGAAAATGCCCGATTGAGACAACGCGTGAGCACACGAAGATCAACTGGTGTGCAGCATCTCAGAGGATCCCAACCAGCGTGGCAGGCTCCTAACAGTAGCCTTCCTCGACATAGCCATCGACCTCAGGACAAATTTCAAGAATCCTGAGATAGAGTGCTAGAAAAGATTTGTTATCCGAAGGTGTCGAGGGTGAGACCGTGCCCCCGGTGTTGCCCATATCCGTTTTGTCCACTGGAGGATCCCAACAGTTGTCCTCTTAGAGTTCCCTACCAGGGTGTCAGGCCCGGACTACCGGCCAAAATTGGTAAGGCGGATAATCAGCCTACCTTGAAAAAACCCCCTATGGCAATACCACCAACGAGACAGTTTCATCTTTCAAAATATATGTTCCTGAGGAATTCTTTGTCAAACTATGCTCTGTCCAAAACTGACCAAAGCATGTGATTGTCAAGGAATTCGAAGCAAAGAAAGAGAAAAATAGGACAGTTGGAATTACTCTTCCTAGGCCCGATTTAACCAATGCGCCTTCAACATCTTCCGATTCCGTCCCAAAAAACTAACAAACTTCCTTGGTATCTCCTATCAGAATGCTAGAGGCTTACGCAGTAAGCTTCCTAAATTGTACTCTAATAGTGTCACATTTGCTTCCCAAGTAGTGTGTTTACAGAAACCTGGTTAAAGCCGGGGATTCTGAGCTCCGAAGATTTTCAAGCTGTGTTCACAGTAAACCGGCTAGATAAGTAAGTAAGATAAATCGGCCTATAAGACATGTTCCTACATTCTTCCATTGTCGGAACTTCCTATTAATTGAAACCATCTTTCCGCTATTCAGTTGGTCTCTAAAAGAATTTCGGATAGGGACCACTTAGTTAGTAATTCTTGGTGATTTTAACATCCCAGGGGCTATTTGGTCCCTAGATAATTCCATTAACCACAACACATCACAAAAAATGTGGTTTACCAAAGAGCACTTCAATTAAACGGATAATTTGCCGAAGGTGGCGTAACGGAGTTCGCCTGGCTTACTAGTTAAGTATATATTTCAAAATCTATGTGACTAGTACTACAATTATAAGTGCATACTTGCTGCGCTAGGATAATATAATAAATAAAATTAAATACCGAAGCCCGGAGAAGACCACACGATTCCGCTATCGTACAGATCAGTAAGTTTACTATCATGCTTGTCCAAGTTATTTGAGCTGGGAGCTCACAATATCATCCCAGCTCATCAATTTGGATTCAGAGAAAAGTATAGAACTATCGAGCAAGTTAACAGAATAACATCAGAAATTCGCACAGCCTTCGAGCATCGAGAATATTGCAGCCCGATATTTCTCGATGTTTCTCAAGCATTCCACCGCGTCTGGCTCAACGGCCTTATGCACAAAATAAAAACACATTTCCGGAATACACACACAAATTACTTGAGTCGTATCTCTACAACAGAGTCTTCGCAGTGAGATGCAACGCAACAACATCCGGCACCTATTCAATCGAAGCTGGAGTTCTACAAGGAAGCTCACTTGGGCCAACTCTATTTGTCCTATACACAGTGGATATTCCCACAAGAGACCACTGTGTATAGGACAACCACTTTTGCTGATGAAACTGCGATCCTCAGCCGTTCCAGATGCCCAGATGCAACAACCCAGCTCGCCAACTACCTTAAGGTAGTCGAGAAGTGGCTTTCTGACTGGCGTATTAAAATAAATTAACAAAAGTGTAAGCACATAACGTACACTCTCAACAGACAAACATGCCCTCCGCTCTACTTGAACAGCACGCAGATCCCCGAAGTCAAAGTGGTGATGGTGATCAAGAATATATCTATTTTATAGGGTCGGAAAAGTCTCATTTACTGCGTTGCAAATTTCTGACTAAAATTAGAAGAGGAGGGTAACGCTAAAAACCCAGAAATCGCTTTTCATGAAGAGTGCAGCAATCGCATGTACTACAAAAGTAAACAGACTCGTTTACACACAGCAGGTGTGACCAGATCTTCCCGGGCAAAGAGAAAGATCGACAGGTTTCGAGTTAGCAAGAGTTTTTGCAGCGCTGGCGGTGAAATTAGCGAAAACCCGCCTTTGAAAGGGACGTTACTTTTTCTCTGGAGGAGAAATTAAAAAATGTTGATTCCAGGGAAGATATTAAGGGAATCAATGAACCTTTTAATTTGGTCACCAGTCAAATAGAAGACATCAAGTCTGAGAATGTCATGCTAAGAGAAGAACTGAATAAAGTTAAGGAGGAACAGCTAAAGGACCATATTAGTATTAGTCTACAGAGGCTCGTAGAGCAGGCTAAACAGAGAAATTTCATCTTTGGGAGAATGATTAAGAGCATGAAATCCCAGAAGCTATTTTGCATACATGCAGAAACAATATTAAAATTAGCGACCCTAACATGCTTGCAGCTAGAACAATTTAGGAGCTACCACCAGAAAGAAGTATTATTGCGGAAATGGGATCAGTAGATTCCCCTTCGTGTAGCTGGTGAAAATTATCAGGTGATTCCCGTTAACTTAAACTGTACCAACTG